GAGGCAGAAAGCTCTGCTCCTTGCCGAGCAGCTGCGAGGAACTGCTCGTTCGTCTGGGCTGGGGAGTGCCACTAATTCGCGCGGTTGCCTTCGTGGAGGCGGGATGGGGAGGCGGAGATGGCTCGCTGGTAAGGAGACCTTGGCAGTGTCTCCACGATCCTGATGCACCCGAGAGAAGGAAGGAGGGGCCGGTGGCGCTTTCCTATGTGAGACTCCACCCAAGTACCCCAGTGACGGCTTTTAGGTCCCCCTCCAAGGAAAAACAAAAACCGGCTGCCCCACAAAAAGCACCCAAGTTAGCTCTCCCACGCACGGCTGCTGCATCACGGCGCTCAGCTCCGAAAGGACACGCGGCCAACAGGGAATCCCTTGCCTTCTGTTTATTGCATATGCATTATTTCCCGGAGATCAGGATTGCCTTGTTTCCCGCGGGGGAAGGAAAAACTTCGCTTCCTTCCCCAGTTCAGACCCAGCGGACCATCCCATGCGCCAAGAGGGACGCGCCCGCCCGCGGGGCACCAAGCGAAGGGGAGGACGGGGGGCATCCCGCAGGAAAGCCCAGCCCGTGCGCGTTTCTCGGAAATTTCCTCCTGGCGCTTGTAGCCGAAATCCCCCCTCTCCCCGCCACGGGCACATCCTAAAACGGGTTTACTCGGAGGCGAGCCTGATTTCAGGCCACTGTGCTGCAATCCGCAGAGCACCTCTCCTCTCCTCTCCTCTCCTCAGTCTGAAACATCTTCCACACCGATGCTTCATCCAGAATTTCAAATGTTCACACCTAGGGGCAGAATAGCCTTCCATGAGTTATCCCCAGTGTTAATCGGACTGAAGTTCTCTTCATTTGAGCGGATCTATCCTGAGGAGGGCTAACACTGGGCAACCCTCCCTTTCGCCCTTTCTTTTGAAATCACACAACAAAGTAAGGCAAAACGAAGAGCAGAAAATTGCTTTTAGGAGATACTGTACTGTCTGGAAACTGAAGGGAAACTGGCAAAACATTTAATCTCTTCTCAACCAAGAGGTTTAACAGAGGTCTGTTAAACAAACAGATTTATTGATTGCAAACAAAATATGGGTGTAGAATAACTAATTAAAATCTTAATGTCTGTACAGGTAATTCTTATAGGTAAGTAGGATATGGATATGAAGGGGGAAAGCACATACACACATGTAGACCATTGACCAGGGAGTTAAGCCATAGCCCTTGGTTTTAAAAAGACCAAAATTCAACATCAGTTTTTGGATTTCTTTTTCGTGGTGTTCAGTGACAACACAGTGCTCTTTTTGCCACCAAAGAAACCTTATTTGAAACATTTTAAATTTAAATCAGTGGGACTCTGAGCCAGCCAAATATGGTTGGGAACGGCATGCAATTAAATGTTCGTCATCATGGATTCCTTCAACTGCTATCGATTTATAGAAGGATGTTTCATCACAAAATGGTGTAATGAAGATGTCAGTCTTTTACAATTCGCACTGGAAATGTTTATTATTTTAGTATAGAATGCATCCAGCTTTTACTTTACATGTACCTTACACATCGTTGTTTGTAACTTGTGGGTTTTAATTTAGGTAACATTTATTAACTCCATATTTTATATAACTATTAAAAGCGAACTATATATGTGGCTATACATAACCACACTTGTCCTTCTTTCTCAAATATCATTACTTTTAAATATCACACAGCTTAACTTAAATGCAGGGTAATCCGAAAGTGCCTGAAGTTGCAGAGAAAGGACCATCCAAAAGCCAGATAAAATTGAACAAAGTACAAATATTGTTAAGAGAAATTTGCTATTTACAAGTTTTAAAATAAGTGATCCTTCCTGGAAAACCATTTCTAGTTTCATCCAGTCTTTTGGAGAAGAAAACTAGTGGGTACTTTCATGCTCAGCAGCTACTGGGAAACTGGTTTACTGGTCACATCAAGTTTCTCTTCTTCTCCCCAATAGTCGGAGTTGCCTTCCTGTGCTCAGGAGACAGCTCACACAGCAGTTAACTCAGGCCCTTCAATGACAAGTCAAAGGGGAGGGAACCGCAGGAATAAAGTGCAGCCCCCACTTTGGAAGGGCAGGCAGGCAGGACCATGGGGGGGGGGGTCTATAGTGGCAAGTAAATTCCAGCAAATCAGGCAAAAAGCTCAGCCCCAGAAAAACGGAAAACACTTCCTCCTCCTCCTCCTCCTCGTTTGACCCACTGAAGAGACAAAATACAATCGAAATGCATCCATATAAATTCTCCCTAAACCCATCCAAACCTGCGAAATAAATTCTTCTCCTTAGTTGCCAAGAAGTTCTTTCCTTCTGGACAAGAAAAGCAGTTTTAATTTTCCGAAGGGGAGGATGTTAAATCGAGAAGTAATGCATCCTCTTTTTCCTCACGGGTAGAGGGAAACTACCCGTTTGCCATCCACTCGCATGATGGTTGATTTCACTAAATTTGGGGTTTTTTCTTCAACAGAACAGAGAGAAGGTTTGGCCCACCTATAAATCTTGCTGAACAAACAGGGGAGAAGGGGATTAGGGTTTACAAAGGGAATTAAATCTCCCCTGCCCAGTTTGCAAAGATCCATTCTCTAGAAAGATGGGATAGCTCCTCGGATAAACATTTCGATATTCACTTTCTCCTAGCTACCTTTAAAGAAGAGGGAGAGACACTAGAGGTGTTAAACATGCAAATCGGTGACACTTTGGGTTTTCTTTTGGTAACAAGAACATGGTCCCAAAGTACATCAAATGAAAATTGCCCATTCGTCCAACTTTATAAATTCCCTATAGATAATTCAAGCACACACTCACACAGAAATTTCATCGACTGCATGCTTTCTGCGGGGGCCATTTATTGGTGAGGTTAAAAAGTAACAGAAATCTAAAGAATCCGTTTAACAGAAAAATATTGCTAGTAATTTCCATCACCCACACTCCTTCTAGGGTAACAGCAAAAGTCGTCTGACCCAGTGGCTGCAAAGACATTCACGCGGCAGCTAGGAGCAACATTCTCACGAAACTTACTTCCAAGCCAAGTGTGCCTTGATCTGCTACCTCTTCAAAACAAGCTGGTCCCAAGCAGGGTGACGTCAATCGGCGTAGGTGAAGTAAAGGATAATCGAAAACAAAGCAATACATTTTTTTTTAAGCAAATGAATCCAATGATAGCCACCGCAATTGCTCACGGGTCGATTCCCTGTTTTAATTGTCCCCACGGAAAGTCAGAAATATTCTTGATTGATTTTTAGTTAAACAAACAACTAGTAATTGAATCTCAGGAAGCAAAAGACAGTACAGAAATACAGAGTCATTAAATTAGTGATCCCGGTTCTCAGTTTAGTTTCCGAAGAAAAATATATGAAATCGTACCTCTTGTATGCCACCCTTTCTTGGAAGCCGCTGGGATAGGCTAATGCACCTGCAGATGTAGAAAGGCATAAGAGAAAACAAAAGTTAGTTTGTGTTCTAAAATAACATCAGCAGGAAGACCATTCATTTAATTGCCAGGTTTCCCTTCTCTCTCCTCCCCACCTTTGAAAAGTGGCACCCCTACGAAACGCGAAATGCAACGCGCCCACTTGGCAAAGCAACCACTGTTTTCAGTGGATTTAACACGCGATCAGACAACGAGGTACTCGAGAAATTTTACACGCACGCACACGCACAAAGAGAGAGGGGGAGGGAGGGAGGAAGGAGAGAGAGGGAAATGGAAACTATTTGTCAGGTTTTTTCCCAATGCAATGTTTTTTCCCCCTCCCGCCTTTGCTCCCTCCCCCCTCTTAAAACAGTTTATTTGAAAGAAGCTTCGGGTGGACACTGTAGACATCGGCGTGGCCAATCAGAGCGGCTCTTTCCTCCCCTGGCCAATAGCAGGCGCCACATTGTTGTCAAATGTTGTCTAATGGAAACGTAAGGAGCAACAATAGAGCGAGCGCTCGCGGGCGGCGCGGCGGAGATTCTACCTCTTGGCAACTCTCGCCCTCTCTAGTGTCATACATGCAAAGTTGGGGCTGAGCGGAGCGGGAGCACGCCGCCTCCGCCGCCGCCGCCGCCGCCTGCGAGGGGCACTCCGGCGGCCGGGCTCTCCCGGAGGAAGGGGCAGGGGCAGGGCAGGGGCAGGATGGGCGCGGGCGGCTGAGGGGCGGCCGGGTGCGCGTCAGGAAGTTGGCGCGGCGTCCTCGGGCGGCAGCGCGGGCGGGCGGGCGGGCGCGGGGCGCCGGCTGGGGCGAGCAGAGGACGCGCGCGGCCTCCGCGGACGGGACATGCGCCCGGGGCCGGGGGCCGCTTCCGTCGGAAGGCTGCCGCGTAACGTTGGCCGCCCCCGGTCGGCGGCGGGGCGGGCGCGCTTGGCGGCGCCGGGCGCGCGTCCGTAACCTCCCGAGGGGGGAGCCGCTCCCCGGAGGGGTCTCGCTGCGCTTCGCCGAGCGGCCGGGAAGGGATGGGATGGGGCGGGTGTCATTTCGGCGGCTCGGGGGCATTCAGGATTTGATGGACTCCTGGGTAGCAGGGAAGCCCCTCTTCTCCGAGGGCTCAGGTTTACTCCGCAGGGGCTGAGTTGCAGGGAAAACGGGGGCGAGGGGAAGGAAGCCTGTGCTGCCTGGGTCTGGACTAGGCGAAGCAGAGGCTGTTCTGGGGAAGGGCGGAGACTGTGGGGGAAGGAAGGACGGGAAAGTTTCAGGTAGCCTCTTTTTTCTCGGTGAAGGAAACTTCCTAGATCTGTTTCAGTTGCCAGTTTAGAATTACTGTCGGAATTTGGAGTACTGCGGTCAGGCGGGTTGAGGAAGTTGTTGAAGATCTCTGGAGGTTTATCAAGTAGGCGGGAGATTGCTGAGAGGCCCCGGGTGTTTACACAACACTCAGGCTGTGGGCCGTTAACGGAGTGTGGCCAAGTGGTTAGTCCCGATTTTGGGGGAGCGTTTGCGGCCGAGTGAACGGGGTGGGGGGCGAGGGGGGGATAAGGCAGCTGGCCTCCTTCCCGCTTGGGCGCCACGGCTCCCCTTCCCTCTTGGGATGGAGCTGCGCTCTGAGATGTCCAACGTGCCGTCGGCGCCCCCTGCGGTGCCCCCCAGTTCAGTGGCGGCGGCGGCGGCGGCGGCGGCCGCCAGCCTGCCGGTGAGCGTGGCCGGGAGCCTCCTGCGAGCGCCGCCTTTGCTCCTGCGGGCGGCCGAGAAGTACCCGCGCACGCCCAAGTGCGCCCGCTGCCGCAACCACGGCGTGGTGTCGGCGCTGAAGGGCCACAAGCGCTACTGCCGCTGGAAGGACTGCCTGTGCGCCAAGTGCACGCTGATCGCCGAGCGCCAGCGCGTCATGGCGGCCCAGGTGGCGCTGCGCCGGCAGCAGGCGCAGGAGGAGAACGAGGCCCGCGAGCTGCAGCTGCTCTATGGCACCGCCGAGGGGCTGGCCCTGGCCGCGGCCAACGGCATCATCCCGCCGCGGCCCGCCTACGAAGTCTTCGGCTCGGTGTGCAGCGCGGACGGAGGCGCGGGGGGCTCAGGTGAGGCAGCAGCGCAGCCCCATCCTAAGCGCGGGGCAGCGCGCGCGCGCGCACACACGTCTCGCTTCCGCGCGGCCGTGGGATGATGTTGGTTGAGGCCCCAGTCAGGCTTACGAAGGAGTAAGTTTTGTGAAACTCTACGGAACTTGCTTCGAACTAAACGTGCTGCACCTAACTGGCTCCAACGGGACTTAGAAGTGCTTTAACTTTCTCTGAGGTGTGGCCACCATCTTCAGGATAGTTTGCAGAATGATGCTTGCTTCCAGTTGAGCGCCAGAAGAGAGTGCAAAGGGTTAGATCCTGCTCCGGAGACAGTCCACATCGCTTCTCAGTCAGTCACAAGCGATCCATCCGCATTATCTTTCGTCCTTGCTTTCGCCTTTCCTTCTACTGCCTACACCTTCTCTGTCCACTTCAGCACAGTTTCTTGCCAAATCAGTTTTCCTGTCCATTTCCAGCACTAACAGCCTCTTGCATTCATTGACTCCATTCTCACAGCATCTGGGCCTCTGTCTCCACCACTCATCCCTGTTCTAGCCGTAGCTGATCCCCACTCGTTGGAAGGAAGTTCTAGTGATTTCAGTGGGTCATGATTTCACCTGAAGAGTTTATGGGCTGTTTAGCCGGTTGCCTACAGCCTTAAATAAGGTCGGTTGGAATCACAGGGTCTTTTTCCAAGGCTATAGGATTAACATAGAGGCACCAACCAGCTGTATCTCTTGCCTTTTGTACGTACTCTTTTCGTTAACTCCGAAACGCTCCACTCTTTTTAAACTCGCCTCCATACATATTCCCTGCCTCTCCAGCTGTGCCTCCACAATCTCTCTCTTTTAGACCCATCTAGAAACAGGGTTTACTGCCTCTATGATGCATCCATTTTATTTCTTCAAGCCCCTGCTTATGCAGAAGTAAACAGGCGTCCACTGAATTTACTTCCAGGTAAGGACTTTTAGGATTGCCGCGTTGGGACCGCTTTGAGGCAGGGTGTTGAGCTACAGCCGGCGTCAGCCCCATCGTCTCACTGGAGTGCCCCTTGGGCTTGTCGGAGGGCGCCTTCCTCCCTCGCCTGGCTTCGAGAAGTGAGGATGGCGCCCTCTGCCGACCGCAGCCGTCGAGCCCTGTCTAGACGTGCTGGGCGAAGTGGCCGCGTTTGCCAAACGGACTGCAGATACGGGTTACCGAGGTGCTACATGAACCGCCGGGAGGAGGCCTCTTGGATGGACGAAGTGAGGAGGGTTTATAGTGGCAGAGCAGATCCTCAAGCCAGAAAAGGAAGGGAAGTGGTGGAGCGAGGAGAGGTGAAGCCGGACTACTGGCACACTTAGCTTAAATATGATGTGCACCGGCCCCTCGTGCTGTACCGCCCGATTTAGGCAGAGGCGGTGCTGGGCTGCAGGGACCACCTGACTACTGCGAGCTTGGGGACTGTCAGGTCGCCCCGTCTGGGTCTGGCCCAGACGCGAGGTTCACACGGCTCCCCGTTTCTGTCTCTTCCCCTTCAGAGGTCAAGCTGCAGAAATTCGAGCTGTTCCCCAAGACCCTCCTGACCAACCGGGCCGTGACCCCTCAGCAAGCCAAGCCCTTGTCTCCGGACGGCGCGGACGGCGCACCAGGCATCTCCTCCCCGGAGCCCTCTCGCCACGGCGGCGGCTCAGGCTCGGAGAACGGCGACGGCGAGTCCTCCGTCAGTTCCCCCGTTTCCAAGGGTGCCAAGGACGGCGGTGGCGCAGCCGAGGAAGAGAGCCCCGGCTCCATCAGCCCACTGGGCTCCGACTCCGGGTGCTCCGAGGCGGAGCGGGAAGAGGCGGGGGCCCCTTCGCCCGGCCTGGCCGCGGCGGCGGCGGCCGCGGCGGCGGGCGCAGGCCGGCAGCAGCGGACGCCGCTGGACATCCTGACGCGCGTGTTCCCCGCGCACAAGCGCAGCGTGCTGGAGCTGGTGCTGGCCGGCTGCGGCGGGGACGTGGTGCAGGCCATCGAGCAGATCCTCAACAACCACCACCACCACCACCACCGAGGGGCGGGCAGCCCGGGCCAGGGGCTGGCCGCCGCCGCCGCGGGGCTGAGCGCGGCCGGGCCCGAGAAGGCGGGCGACGAGAGCTGGCCGCGGGCAGCCGGGGACTCGTCGGGGGCGCTGGGCGCCCTGCAGCCCTCGCCGGCCGGCGCCGCCGCCGCCGCGCACCACCGCCCCCTGCTGGCCGGCGCGATGACTCCCGCCATCGGCGCGCTGGGCAGCCGCTCGGCCTTCTCGCCGCTGCAGCCCAACGCCACCCACTTCGGCGCGGCGGCGGCGGCGGCGGCGGCCGAGGCCAGCGCCTACCCGCTGGGCACGCCGCTGGGCCTGAGCCCGCTGCGGCTGGCGTACTCGGCGGCGGCGGCGCACAGCCGCGGGCTGGCCTTCATGACGCCCTACTCCACGGCCGGCCTCATGCCCACGCTGGGCTTCCGCCCGCCCGTGGAGTACGCGTTCAGCGACCTCATGCGCGACCGCTCCGCCGCCGCGGCCGCCGCCGCCGCCGCCGCCGCCGCCAGCGCGCACAAGGAGCAGAGCTACCCGAACGGGCTGTACGGGCCGCTGGTCAACAACGCGCCGGAGAAGCAGTAGGAGGGCGGGCGGGCGGGCGGGCGGGCGCGCAGATGCCGCGGCTTGGCGAGGCGCGCGTGCGAGCGCGTGCGCGTGCAAGGGCCGGGCATCTGCCGGCGAGGCCGCGCTGCCCCCCGCGGTGGCGCCTCCCGCAGCGGCCGCTCGAGATCGGCGCAGCCCGGACGCGGAGCGCTCGCTCGCTTCCTCGCCAGCGAGTCCGCGCAGGTCTTTGCAGGCGGAGGGGCGGCGGCAGGGGCGAGGCTGGGCTGGACAGCTCTGGTTCCGGGTGCGGCCAGTGAAAGGATGCCTTTGCCCTGCGTTCGGCGTACTCCTACTCGGAAGGAAGTCCCCTTGAGCTCAATGGGACTCTTTCGGTGGGCGTGCATTGGATCGCAGCCTAGATAGGTTTTTAGTGACTGACTGACTGACTGACTGACTGACCGCGGGTCAAAACAAAAGAGCACAAAAGTGACAAAATATATACAAATTCCAGTTGTGCAGATTTCTGTTGCTGTTTGTGAGTTGCAATGACAGTAATCCCTGCCTCCTCCCCAGTGAGTTCCCGATGATTTCTGGGTTGTCAGGATTTCATTTCACTCTGTTCTTTTTGAAATGTGGTCAGATGTGTGGGACTTGACAAACTTCTAGGTGTATTGAATTTTTTAAGAAGGCACACACGTTTTTATTGTTAAAATTATCAACCATTTGTATCTTTTGCTTATGACTATAAGCATTGATATTCCTCCTGGTGTTTTGTGATATATACATATATACATATACATATATATATATATATATATATCAACCATGAATATGTATGTAAACCAGCAAGTGTATAGTCTAATGTTATAAAATGGAAATCTAAGTTATTAATGTAATTTGTAGGTGAATTTAGTATTAACTGTAAACTAAAAGGCTAGGCAGTTTTCAGTTGAAAACACATGAGGTATAGAGATTAAATATATTGTAAAGAATTTTAATGCTTCTTTTTATTCACCCATTTGGGGGAAAACACAATTTGTAAATAAGGTTGGAAAGTAGATATATTTGTAATTGTTCTTTGGACTTGATTCAGATCCTGTGATCAACACCGTTTTAATCAGTTATCCACAAGGGTAACCACAAAATGCTGTTTGGTTCCAGCGTGGCAAATTCCTTGCTGTTTCATACACTTCTGTCTTTTAATGTTTTCATTTCATAGAAGCCCTAGAAATAAATGTTATTTTGTATTAAAACCTGCCTTACAAATAGCCTGCTGTTTTTCTTTGGCAGTGCTTTGCTATGACAAGTCTGTTCAAAGGTATTACAAATTCTGATCTAGAATGGACAAGATTAAGGTAATTGTCTGAATTCTCCTAATTCCTCTAATCTAATTGTGGAGCCAGCTCCTTGTTACTCATTTAAAAATGTTAATTCCCGTACTTTATTTGAAATACACAATCATAGGAGAATCTGTAAATACTACAACAGATTACACTCATCAGTTGTTAAAATCATACCACAATAAAATAATATTTTATCTGGGGTCTTATTTTTAGTGACTATGGAAAGAAACTTCAGGTTATATTTTGAAAAATATATTTTATCGATCAGTTCTTCAAAAGACTGTATTTTGAAGTGTTTTCAATGTTGAATTCTGAGAACAATCCTGAATACACATCTTGTAATATATATGTTTAGGATTGCTTCATTAATGACAATGCAACTTGCATCCATAACTCTGCTGGACTATAGCCTGTGTGTAGTCAACTAACCTATTGTATCGCTGATTTCTGTAACAATTTCATAATTAATATGAACAGCTTTTGTCAGGGCCAATGCAGCATGCTAATTTGATCGACTTTAGCAAGAGAAAGGAGATAATATTTGTGTTTCAGAAATCACCTTCCCTCCTTTATTGCAGCTGGGGAAGAGAATCTTGAACTTCAGGAAGAAAGCCTTCCAGGTTTTAGCTGATCCTTTTGTTTTTGGTTAATGCTAGTTTTTCTTCAAGTGAAATTAACCCACTTCCTATAGAAAGAGTGAAAGTTTATGCACGTCCATCATACTTCTGTTGATCTGAAGCCAGAATTATTGTAAATCAATGAGATATACTTAGCTTCAAGTAATTTGTTTTGGATTGGATGCTTCTGGAGGTAATATAGAAATCATAGCTAATTGCACTTTGTGGGAAGTAAATTCAGTAGATAAAAAAATACAGTTAAGGTGCAATCCTACACATGTTTAAATAGAGAAAAGGCCTACAATCTCCACCAGCAGGTGGTTGGGGCATACTGGGAATTGTAGGCCTTTTTTCTGCTTAAACATCCACTGGATTGTGCCCTTAGGAATGGAAAGCCAGAAACAGGACTCTCTTTCTTTCTGTAAACTGCTAAACGGACGGCAGGCAACAATACTTGCAGGAATTTCATACTGTACTTCCAGAACGGCAATGCTTATATAGGAGGGATTTTCTTCTCTATCCTGGGGAGTGTTTGGCCCAGGAAAACTATTACTAACAAAGAACAAGTTCAGTGCATGGTTGAATTAAGACTGTAAAAGCTCCTAAAATTGGTTGGTATGGAAACCTAATCCCACCCAACTGTTCTGTAGCGCAGCTGGACTGTTTACTTTCTCACTTCAAATATAACTGTGTAAACATTGGCTTGAAACTGACAGCTCTGCTCCCATAACCAGTTAATATATTGGGGCGGATGGGTGGAAATGTGGATTCCTTCATGGTTATTGGAAGAAGATGGGGGAAACAGCAGCAGCAACAACAACAACAACAATAGAAAACCTCTGCAGCAATAAATTGCCACTTTCTCCCCTCTTTTGGAAATGTCTTAAGTATCTCTGAAAGGGTTTGTCAGTACAAACCTGCTTATATCTACTCATAAGTAAACCCTCTTGAATTCAGATAGGTTATCTCTAGTTAAGTGTAGGATTGTAGTCTGTATGTGTTAAATATTATAGATTACACTTTAAGTTAATTCTTTGACCCCAACCTCAACCCCTAAAGCAGGCAAATCAGTATCACAAGGAAAACTTAAAAAAAAGAATCTCAGGTTCCAAAAGTGGTTGAAACGTAATATTACTACAATAAAACGGTTTAATAATGAAGGGCTTTAATAGTGAGCTAATTTGATTGAGTTTCCTAATTCCACTTTAATTGGAAAAAAGCCCCAGAGTTGCTTGCTCTGTTATAATGTGAGAGGTTTATGTTAGACAGAGGGGATGAGGGCAAGCAGGGAGAACGGGGAGAATCAGATGGACTCGAAACATGTCACTGTCTGTGGGGTCTGGAGTGTGTCTGTTTGGGCATTTGATTTCTTGCAAGCTGCATCCCAGATCTGGGATTATGAGGAGGGGATCTACAGGAGACCATTTTTCAACTTAAGGAATTAAGGTGGACACAGTTGTCACTTTCCAGCTACAGAGAGGCTAATGATTTCGGAAGCTCCCTTCCTCTCTGACGCCACTCCTTGGAAACAGGAACAGAGTGAGCTGAATATATTATTTCCATTTCCCAGAGTCACTTTTAGTTCTGCTTTTCAATTAGATGTGCGGCCTTCAGAAATATCTCAGAGATCATCTAGTCTTACCTTAAAGTTTTTGCGATCTTTTGAGGTTAAGTTGATTGATAAAGTTGATCAAGACATTGATAAAGTCCAAGGGAAAAGGATGGACCTCAGGTCACCCCACCACACCGATAAGCAAACATTAGCAATTTCCTGCATAAGCCACACCCATAGTGTGCAATATGCACTGTGTGTGTGTGTGAGAGAGAGAGAGAGAGAGGGAGGGAGGGAGGGAGGGAGAGGGAGAGAGGGAGATCATAGTGCAGAAGGTACTTGCAGAGCAATATGTCTAGTCAACGAAAGTGAGCTGATGAAACAGGGCAGAATAAACATACACTAATTTCCACTATCCATTTAGGTGGAGATGGAGGGTGGGGGACAGGGAGAAAGTGCTTCCAGACCACACATAAAATAATCTATTGTATCCTGGGTATAAGTGAACCCCATCCTACAAGCTAGAGCTTAAAAATGGTCAAATAAAACAGACCAGATTGCCAGCCAGTTAAGAAGCATTTTCCTATTACCTAAACCAAAACGAAGATTACTACTTGTCCTTCTTCTGGAGATCTTGGCAAGGCGTTCTTCACTTTCTGGTTTAAATCCGGTGGAGAAACTTGCTAGATTACAGGTAGCATAAACTCCAGCCAGCATGCTTAGTGGTTAGGGATAATGGGCAATTGTAGTCTAGCAATAAGTTTTCTAAACCATCAAGATATAATAGGTGACTTCCCTTCAGCACACCTGGATTTAAGAACTGCTGGTTTGCTGGTATTGTCAGTTGCTGGCATGAGGTAGGTAGAGTCACCATGATGGTGCTGAGGTGGGGGACACATGACACAATGTGCTGCTGAGAGCCGAGGTTTGAGTTCTCAGGCAAGTCACAAGAGGAGGTTTGGCCATGTTCATCCAAGCCGCACAGCAACACATTTGTTTATGCTTTTAGTATAAATGTTGGGTTCAGTTTCCTCCAACCAGTCGCCCTCCAAACTTGCTGGACTATGACTACTGTGTCCCCACAGTTGGGAGGCGTGTTTAGGAAGCTGTATACTTCTTTGTGGTCTCCCATCTGGGAAGAATTGAGATCTCTCTGGTGGGCAGGACACCTTTCTTTCAAGGGAAAAGGTCTAAAAAGCATTTAACTTCCTATCTGGTTCTCCCATCCCAGCATAAAATTAGAAAAAAAAATTGTTGGCAGTTGAAGCCAATTCAACAAAGCAAGTATAAATAATTTGTAAAGTGGAAAGGCAGTGTGCCAGCATCTGCAAACTTTCTTGTTAATTAAATCTTAATCCGTTCAGTTGCATTTTCACAGTTTGGCTGTGTATTGAAAGGGGGGGCATGTCCAGGAGGTTTATTATCTGCCCTGGTGTTTAATAGAAATCAACCATAATCCACAACATAATAATGATAAAATTATACTAACAGTTTAGTAGCAAAATTACTCTCCTTATACAAAATGAA